CCTGAGGCCACACAGCCCTGAGCTGCCTCTTTCCTAGCCTGACTGAGGACCAAAGCAGGGAGGCAGTCATTTGAACTTCACCCTGAAGCCAGGACAGTTTCCTGCACAGAGGGCTCCGCAGTCCCTGAGCAGAAGGTGCCAGTGAGGGGAGCGGGCCGGCTACCCCTGGGTGAACTGGGGTGCCTGGGAAGCCGACTCTAGACCCAAGGGTCAGCTAATCTGTAGGCCCACGCCATGCCTGCGGGCGAGGTGGCACTGCTCTGCCCACGCCTGCACCCGGGCCGGGAGACCAGCCCCAGCGAGCCCGCCAGGGGTGGCAGAGGCCCCTGTCTGAGCCCAGGGCTGAGGTCTACCACCAAGGACATTGCAGCCGTAGGTGAGCCCTCAGCGTGGAGGTGCTGGGCGACCCTGGCACGTGCTCTGGGGACCCGTTTCCTGGGGGCTGGCCTAACCCGCCCCTCCTCCGACCAGCTGGGAACCTGGGACCCAGTGGGGGCTGTGGGATACGTCCCTGAAGCCCAACTCTCCACCCCCAACTCACTCAAGCGCAGCCTTGGAAGAGCAATGGGAGCAGAGGGCAGGCCCACAGGGGCAGGGGAGCGGCAAGGCAGGGGGGGGGGGCACAGCTGTCTAGGGTGCGAGCCCAGAGTCTGCCACTCCTCTCCCTGGGCTGCCCCTCATGCCCATGGGGAGGCAGGCGCGCTCACCCCTCCCCCACCTGGCCCACCGCAGGGTGCGTGTGTTGGCACAGCCCCAGACTGACTCCTCCAATGGAGGTGGGAGGCGGTCCCCTCCCAGAAATGGCTCCCAGACTTCCCACTCAGCCACCCTCCAGCCTCATTTCCATATTCGGCGAGGCCACTCCCTTCCGACAATGGCGGTCCTTTGTCCTGCCATCAGCCACAAAGCCAAGGCTGAGGCCTCCTCTCTGGGGGAGAAGGAGGGAGACAGAGCTACTGGCCTGGCCCGATTTCTCTGGGGGGAGGGGCGCTGGTCCTGGTGCTTCTCCTGCACCCCCACTCCCCAGTCCCTCTGGGTCTCAGGAGCAGGGGGCCATGGGAAGAGATGCCCCTGACAGAGGGTGCCCTGAATTGGAAGGAGGGTGTGTGATGGGGTGGGGTGGGGTGCAAC